GTGGCACGCTTGGGACACCGGCCACGATTGACGTCCTACCCGTGGCCCCTCGGGACATGAGACGGATGAGGGATGGCGAGACATCTGATTTCCATCGATTCAGGTATGCAGCACAGGATCCCGATCGCGCCCCCAGGGTACGACAACCGCACGAGGGGAGATTGAAGAAGATGATGGGTCGACAGTTTGATGCATCGAGCATGGAGTCTGCCAACACGCACAACCATAGCACCACTCATATGCCCATTGCGTACAAGTGGTAGCATCCACGCACGCCGGTCCACAACCCACCCGATCGATTACTCGACGAGTGAGCGGAGGAAATGACACGCAAGGCCACGCCACAACCGTTTGGCACGAGAATAACACGAGCAAGTGCCACGAGACTGCCCTTACCATCCGACAGGCAACAACGGTGCGATACCACCAATGCTTGGCCTGGCCGAGACCGCACACGTGAGCTTCGCTGACACCACCCCAAGGGGACGTTGCCTGATTCAGGGACTTGTTCCTGGGGTCTCGGGTAGCATCGACTGCGTGCACGGCCTCGTCGAGGCCAAGGCATTTTTGTGGCCGATGAGAAGGGACCACAGGACTGTCAAATACCGAGAGAGTTGGTCGGGCCAAGCCCGTAACCGTAGCTTCTGCTCGCACCACCCTAGGGAGCCATTACCTGATTCAGGGACTTGGTCTGGGGTCTAGGGCAGCATCCACCGCGTGCATGGGTTGGAGCTCGATTATTTTTTTTTGCATGCAAGCTAACCGATCGAGGCCATGGGCGTCTGCCGGTCACCGGAGCAACCAGTCACCAGACAAAAATGCCCGGAAGGCATGCACGCCCTATATTTCACTTGAGGGACGTTGCCCTGGGTGCATGCAATGGGAGGCCCATCACGCACACCTACTCCCCGCATGAGGGGGGGAGATGGGGTGCCGGACCACCACCCCCTAAAGAGCATTAGAGATTTTACAGATATGCTACCAGTAGACGTTAAAATGTCTGAAACGGGGACACTTTTTCCAAACAAGAAAATCCCACACCGAGGGTGCGCTGGTGCCGATGGTGGTCGAGGCATGTGCCCACACCAAGGGCCAGCGCGTGTCGATAGTGGTCGAGGCATGTGCCTGCACCAAGGGCCAACGCGAGCCGATGGTGGTCGAGGCAACCGCCCGTACCAGCTCGAGGCATGTGCCCACACCAAGGCCTGGAATGTGCTGACAGTGTTCGACGTAGGGGCCATCTTCTATCGATGGTGGTCGAGGTAAGAGCCTGCACTAAGGGCCAGCGTGTACCGATGGTGCTCGAGGTAACCGCCCGCACCAGGGCCCAGCGTGTGCCGATGGTGCTCGAGGCAACCGCCCGCACCAAGGCCCAACGTGTGCCGATGGTGGTTGAGGCAACCGCTTGCACCAGGGCCTAGCATGTGCCGATTGTGGTCGAGGCAAGAGCCCGCAACAAGGGCCGGCTTGAGCCGATGGTGGTCGAGGCAACACACTGGGGTCGAAACAACCACTCGCACCAGGGCCCAGCGTGTGCCGATGGTGGTCGAGGTAACACGTTGGGGTTGAGGCAACCGCCCGCACCATGGCCCAGTGTATGCCGATGGTGGTCGAGGTAACCGCTCGCACCAGGGCCCAGCGTGTGTCGATGGTGCTCGAGGCAAGCGCCCGCACCAGGGCCCAGCGTGTGCCGATGGTGCTGGGGGTAACTGCCTGCACCAGGGCCCAACGTGTGCCAATGGTGATCGCTGCAAGCGCCCACACTAGGGCCCAGCATGTGTCGATGGTGGTAGAGGTAAGTGCCCGTACCAGGGCCCAACGTGTGTCGATGGTGATCGAGGCTAGCCCTGCACCAGGGCCCAGCGTGTGTCGATAGTGATCTAGGCAAGCGCCCGCACCAGGGCCTAACGAGTGCCGATGGTGATCGAGGCAACCGCCCACACCAGGGCCCAACGTGTGCCGATGGTTATCAGGGTAACCGCTCGCACCAAGGCCTAGTGTTTGCCGATAGTGGTCGAGGCAACCGCCTGTGGCAAGGCTCAGCATGTGCTGATGGTGATCGAGGCAACAACCCTCACCAAGGCCCAGCTTGTGTCGATGGCGGTCGAGGCAAATGCCCGTACCGAAGGGCAGCCTGTGCCGATGATGGTCGATGCATGTGCCATCTCCATGCATCATCATGTGCCATTGATGGTCGAGGCCTTGGCCGAAGTTCAATTTTGAGTCACGGTGCACATGCTAGGCTCGGACATGTGCTGGTGCCGCATTTTTTTCACCCAGGACAGCATCGTCGGAGCACCACCGGAGAACCTGACTGGCGACATTGGGGTTCCGACGATTGGGGGGGCCGGGGGGGTGTGCGCACATGATGTGCAATGGGTACTGGTACTTGGCCCTTGTATTGGCCCCCTATCCCTCATCAAACCTCTGAAAACTCACACCCCCTTAAAGAGCATTTGAGATTTTACAGGTTTGCTACCAGTAGCCATTCAAGTGTCTA